ATTAGTGTTCCCATGTACTGATAATGAACTATCTGCAGAAAAGGAAATTAAGAAAGCAAGGCAACTTACTATAGCAGCAAAAAAGTAAAATAGTTGGAAATAAATTTAACCAAGAAAGTAAAAGACCTATATACTGAAAATTATTTAAAATACTGACAAAAGGAATGGAAGAAAACAGAAATAAACCTAAAGGTGTCCTGTGTTTATAGATTGGAAGAATTAATATTGAGGAAATGTTGTTACTACTCAAAGTAATCTACACATTCAATGCAAACCCTATCAAAATGTCATTATTTTTTACAGGAATACAAAAAGAAAACTGTCCTTAAATTCACATGAAACCACAAAAGACCCCAAATAACAAAAACGATCTTGAGCAAAAAAAAAAAAGGTAACTGTTCCACATTTCCTGATTTCAAAATATATTACAAAGCCACTTAAACCAAAACAGCATGGCACTGGCATAAAAACAGACACATCAACAAATGGAATAGGATAGAAAGCTCAGAAAGAAACCCACACATTTATGGTTAATAAATTAAAAAAAAAATGCCAAGAACAAGCATGAAATGGGGAAAGGATCATCTCTCCAATAAATGGTGTTAGGAAAACTGGTTATCTACAGGGAAAAGAATAAATTGTATCTCATGCCACATACAATCAATCAACTCAAAATGCATTAAGTAATTAAACACAAGATCTAAAGTTGTAGAACTCCTAAAAGACAGCATAGTGGGTAAGCTCTACAGCATTGTTATGGGCAAATATTTTTTTGGATATGACCCTGAAAGCACAGGCAACAAAACCAAAAAGAGAGAAATGTATAGCATAAAACTGAAAATCTTCTGTGTAGCAAAGGAAATAATTAATGGAGTGAAGAGACACTCCACCAAATGGGGAAAATATTTATAAGCCATACATCTGATAAGGAGTTAACATCAGGAAATATAAGGAACTCAAACTCGGCAACAGCAAGAAAACAAATAGCCCATTTTAAAAATAGGCAAAAGATCTGAAAAAAAATTTCTCAAAAGAAAGCATGCAAATAGCCAACAGCTATATAAAAACACTGGTCATCAGAGAGATGCAAATCAAAACCACATTGAGATACCATCTCACGCCAGTTAGAATGGCGATCATTAAAAAATCTGAAGACAACAGATGCTGGAGAGGATGTGGAGAAAAAGGAACACTTTTACACTGTTGGTGGGAGTGTAAATTAGTTCAACCATTGTGGAAGACGGTGTGGCTATTCCTCAAGGCCTTAGAAATAGAAATTCCATTTGACCCAGCAATCCCATTACTGGGTATATATGCAAAGGACTATAAATCGTTCTACTACAAGGACACATGCACACTAATGTTCATTGCAGCACTGTTTACAATAGCAAAGACCTGGAATCAACCCAAATGCCCATCGATGATAGACTGGATTGGGAAAATGTGGCACATATACACCATGGAATATTATGCAGCAATCAGAAATGATGAGTTCGTGTCGTTTGTAGGGACATGGATGAATCTGGAGAACATCATTCTCAGCAAACTGACACAAGAACAGAAAATGAAACACTGCATATTCTCACTCATAGGTGGGTGATGAAAAATGAGAACACATGGACACAGAGAGGGGAGTACTAAACACTGGGGTCTATAGGGGGGAAAGGGGAGGGCCAGTGGGAGGGGGAGGTGGGGAGGGATTGCCTGGGGAGAAATACCAAATGTGGATGAAGGGGAGAAAGCAAACAAAACACACTGCCATGTGTGTACCTATGCAACTGTATTGCATGCTCTGCACATGTACCCCAAAACCTAAAATGCAGTAAAAAATAAATAAATAAATAAATGCTAAGTATCACTAATCATTAGAGAAATACAAATTGAAACCACAATGATACATTACCTCACATGTGGCTTTTATCAAAAAATTAACCTGTTTTACATTGTTGGTGGAAATGTAAATTACTACAGCCATTATGGGAAACTCTATGAAGGCTCATCAGAGAAACTAAAAATAGAACTTTCATATGATTCAGCGATCCCAGTTTTGGGGACATATCCAAAGAAATTGAAATCAATATGGCAAAGGGATATCTACACTCCTATGATTACTGCAGCACTGTTCACAATAGCCAAGATATGAAATCAATCTCAGTGTCCATCAACAGATGAATAGACAAAGAAAAATGTGACACATTTACACAATGAAATACTATTCTGTCTCTACAAAAGAAAATTCCATCATTTGGTACAACATGAATGAACTTGGAAGACTATGCTAAATGAAATAAGCCAAGCACAGAAAGACAAATCCTGCATGATCTCACTCATATGTAGAACCTTAAAAAGTTGAACTCACAGCAATAAAGAGTAAAATAATGATTAGCAGAGGCTTGGTTGGTGGGGAGAAGAGGGTGAATGGGGAGATGCTGATCAAAGAGTACAAAGTTTCAGATAGATAGGAGGAATAAACTTTCAGACATATTTCATAGCCAATAATATTGTATTGCACATTTCAAAATAACTAAGAATGCAAGTTTCAAATGCCTGGCCACAAAAAATAAGTAAGCAAGGTGAGGGATTCATTAATTAGCTTTGTCATTCACTCCACATTGTATACTTATATCAAAACATCACATCATACCTTGTAAATGTACATAATTATAATTTGTTATTTAAAAATAATTTTAAAATAAAGAAGTTAAAAAAAGTTTTAAAAGCAATCTGCAAGCCTGTTTTTTGATTTGCCAGTTAAAAATATTGTGGAATGTTCCACAAACTCCAAGCCCAGGGATTTATTTCAGTTGGATACTCTATATCTGATGGGTATATCCCTGTTCAGCAGTTTTGTTTGAATTTCATAAAGCCATGTTTCATGAAAACATTTTCTCAGCCGGTGTCAGCTTCGTCTGTTCAGAGATGGGTTATAGGTGTGACTCACCCACCACCTGAGAACCTAGGGCTGAGCAAGAAGAAGGAAAAGGCATTGGATGTTTTTTTCTTGCCTAATGCCATCACTTTTAGTAATGTACTACTGCTACAAGGTCTGTGATTTCCAGGTTCCTATGTGCCTGTATATGTATGTGTATGTGTAAGTGAACACACACATTTGTGTAATTCACAAAGCCAGGACCTGTCCAAATCTGTATCAGAGGTACAATTTTAATAACAGCCATTGTTCGCCTATCCTTAGGGCGACTGTCTGTTCACCATTAAACACATGCTGATGTTTGCAGTCAAAGCCCCAGGGAAGTGAAACAAAGCCTCCTTTTGTGAATGTCAAACAGTTTTAGGGTTTAGTTTATAAAAGCAATATTTTCAGATAGCTGGCAAATATTATGTGGCTTGTGCTCACCTGAAGAATAAAAATTCATAGCTTTCACTTCAGGGGCACGATCATTGAAAAGTCAAACACATTTCAACTGAAATAACTGGGACAAGACTGCTTTACTGGCCTAAGAACAGCCCACCAAGACAACAAAACAGCTGCCATGTTGGATGACAGATATGCTGAACCAAAAGGGAGTTTTGTTCTGGAGAGACAACTGAAAATAACAAACAAAACTATTGGCTCTTGTTACTAACCTTATTTTAGAAGTTATGAAATGAATGTTTCTGAAATTAGGATTTTCCTGAGACCAGCATTCTTTCAGTGTCATATCAAACTCGAAGTGAGACCATAACCCATGCCACTCATCCTCTCTGTATGTTTATTTCTGTAAAGGATGTGATAACATCCGTCCTCCTATTAGCATGGAGTCTCAGGAATCGAGCAGGGAAATGTCTCCTCAGACCATGGTAACCGTAGCCCCAGGAGACTCGCATTCTGAAAATTTGGGGTGCCTTAAACCATTACATAAACATAACTCATCTTTCTGACTTTAATCAGTACCAGTTTAAAGTGATATTTTTATATTAACAAACATATATATGATGAGGTTGAATGCAAAATTGTGCATAATTTTGAAGACAAAGTATTGGACTTCAAATAGTTTTTGCAATCATCGGAAGCGATTTACATTCTATTCCTGGATTCCACCACCCAAGAGACAACTGACAGGAGGCTTTGTTGGAGGAGATGGTTAGGCAGCATTTACTCATCGGCTAGCACTCGGAAAAACTATAGAACAAGATGGAAATACGAAGTGCTTTTGTTATCGGAGTTTACATACATGTGGTTCATAGCTCAAAGTCATTTTGAAACTTGCCTTTGTTCCCTTTTTCTCTTAACACTGTGCTCCTTTCCCAGCATCTCACCTGGGCAAGACATCTGTCACTCAGGGCCACCTAGGATTTGTCCTAACTGTCCTTCAGGATCCTTTTGGGAATGTATTCCAGTCCCCAATATCTTTCACAAATCCTTCAAGACTTATGTCTTGGGTGCTCCCTTCCCCTTTGCAATGCCTATTGCTTTCCAAAGACAGTGAAAATGAATGAACCTTTCCTCCTACATTAGCAGATGTTAGTAGGCTTATGTCTAACCTCACGTGTAATATACTTGAATTTTGTAAGTTTTTCTGCTATTGATCAAAAGGATGGTTTTAATAATTAAAATATCAAGCACTGTGGCTTCCCAGGGGACATGATCATTTTAGAAAGTCAGATCTCCTGAATAGGCACAGGGCTGGTTTTTGAGAAGCTCTAGACCTAAGATCTCAAACATGCTTTTCTGTGAATAAGCCATGAAGATGATACCATAAAAACAATGAATAAATCCTTCCCTTGAGACAGACGGATTGCTTGAGGTCAGTAGTTCGAGACCAGCCTTGCCAACATGGTGAAACCCTATCTCTACTAAAAATACAAAAAATTAGCCAGGCATGGTGGTGCAGGCCTGTAGTTCTAGCTACTCAGGAGACTGAGGCACGAGAATTGTTCTAACCCCGGAGGCGGGAGTTGCGGTGAACCAAGATCATGCCACTGCACTCTGGCCTGGGCGACAGAGCAAGACCCCATCTCAAAAAATGCTCTTATATTAATTTTAGAGAATTCACTCTTACCTGGTACCAGATTACCTCTGGACTTTGTGCATCATGTTGGCAGCTGAGACTGGGGCAAGAAATGGAGCCAATACTCCCAAGAAGTAGGTCTTGCTTATGTGATGCAGAATTCTCACAGGATGCATTTGTCTGGGGCTTAACTTCTAAAATCATTTTGACACAACAGGCCACATGATAGGAACTCCTAGGAAATTAACAAGATCCTGTGAATATAGATTTTGTCTAGATAATAGAGAATTTGGAAATGTTTTCAGATAGAAATGCATTTGGAACATACTTAATCATCTTGGGTTTACAAATATATGATCCAGCATTATTCACCCCTGGGGTCCTAAAACGAAGGGTGTATTTTTCCTGAATGATGTGAGGATTGCTTTTCCTAATGTCCTCTAATGGATCACCATTCGAAGGTTGTCGGTACCATTGGACATCAGATAGGTCCTTACTACCAGTGAAGGGTAGGTGCTCAGGGCCTTGTGTCGGTGAGAGTCGACTTCTGTGGCAGAAATATGATTTCTGTTGCTTTGGTAAATCACAGAATAAGACAAATTCTTCTTCACTCCTTGTAGAATATGTCCAAATGTACTTTTTTGTGTAACAACCTGAAAATCACAATAAATAGAACAACATGGAAACATATTAGAAAGCAGAACTCTAGCTTCTATTTACACATAGTACTTGATTTAACAAGAGACTAAGCTTCCTCATATGTCTTTCTTCTTCACTGTCCATTTTGTAGGAGAAAGAAGTTCGTGTTTTAATCCCCACCAAGTAGACTCCAGCATCACCAGCAGCAGCTCCGGTTTCCTGGAAAAGATGGTAGAACCCTGGCTTATCCCTCTTCAGCTGCTCTCACTGAACACTCAACTACAGTAATGGGTACCTTGTCAATGCTTGGTATCAGCTGAAAGCTGTTCATCCTAATAATTCTCCTCTCACTACCTTTTTAACAGCAGGATGGAAAGGTTGTGTATTATCATGGCATGATGCTGATATATCAGGTTATCCCTCATTTTACCTTTGACCACAGACTCACAGTGCTAACATAAAAAGTGAAAACTCCTACCTGAAATATTAAATTGTTCAATTCTTTCTCCTGAGACAAGTGAAAGAAATATCCAGCCCAAATAGAGCATTGTTCTCCCATGTTCCTGTCATCACTCCAGTAACTTCATTCTGTTGCCAGAATAGAGTTTTGAGATGCAGAACTGTTTCTTGAGCATCCTTTTCATTTCTGCAAATGAAGAAATGGGAAATGAAGAAATCAGAGCCAGTGACCAAATTGAAACCCATACAGGAAACTTCGAAAGGGCAGACCCTACCCAGACCGGCTTTCTTGTGCCCATAGCTTACGTGGGTATTTCCAATGGTATGTAGCAATCTTTTCACTGGTGTCATTTCTTACAAATCGCCTCAAGCTCATGATATCCCTTGGGCCTAGGCTCTATACAGAGTGTTCTTTTAATGGCATTTCCCCCTCATTAATCTTTTTTCTTTGATATTCTCACCTAGCACATTTATTTCCATGAGTAATTTGGAAAGAGGTAAGTTTAACTTTTCCTGAAAAAATAACCCAAGTTGAATAAAAATGTCAGGTTCTTCACAGTTAGGGAAGCTAGAGATATAGCTCCTATTGATAAAATTTGAGAAGGTTTGGACATCACTAGTCTGTACTATTAGAGAATAGAGGCCACCTGCCTTTATGCCCCAAATACAAGAGGGAAAATTGTCACTGGATGGCATCACTATCAGTCCTTTCAAAAATGAAAGGGGGAGCTGGTCCCCTCCAGAGAATCATATCTAGGCTGTGTCCAAAGGACTTGTGTTCCCTCTGTTGATAGGTTAGTTATGGGACTTTTCAAACCACTAAGGAGAAATGAAAGATAAGAATCCTGGGTGGGAAATATTTAATTATCATTTAAATGTGTTTTGAGTAGGAAGAAAAAGGATTTTGCTATAGAACAGTTTTATCTGTGTCTCTTAGAGTTCTGAAGTATTATCATTAACATAAAAATAACCTGTGTATAGCTCTTCAAGTTATAGGAAAAAGGTGAGTTCCCCCTGAACGTAAAGATTCCCCGAAAACACTCCCAAACTGTCATAGGTTCTTTAAGGGTGCTGAGGGGAAAAATAAATAGTATCGTCACTATTTTCAAGGGTCTATTACAGGATAAAGAACATCATTAAAAATACAATTATTCTGACACTGGTTAAAACCATAGGGAAGGCTTTATTCAAGACTTTTGGGGACCAGGCATAGTGGATCGTGCCTGTAATCTCAGCACTTTGGGAGGCTGAGACAAACAGATTGCTTGAGGTCAGTAGTTCGAGACCAGCCTAAAGACTTTTGGGGAAAGAGATCAAACTCAATGCCCATACACCAAGGACAAAGCGCAAGGTAAAGGTCAGTGGATAGAAAATCACTGAGTGACATAAGGACACAGGGATCCTTGCTAAACTGTAAACTGACCTAACAGGATTCTTGCTAAAGTCAGGTTAGGGACTTAAACATCAAGGGTGGTGAATGTAAGCTTGTTCAGACATTCAGGGCCATCAGATATCAAGAGTGCACTGAAAAATTAGCAGGAATTTTTTTGAAGACTATTTGGGCAGGCCAAAGATAGGAGGGGATGCCAAAACTAAGGCCGAGCCAAGAAGAAGGCTCGAGGGACCCAGACTAAAGCTTGGCCAAGGAGAGAGTCTTTGTCAATATAAACATGAAAATAAACAATCACAACAAAGTGTAAGAAAGAAATGAAGTCCAGTGATGACAGAAAAGAAAAAAAACAAGAGGAAAGTAAAGAAAGAATGGAGGAAGGGAAGGAGGGGGGAAGAAAGGAGAGGAAAAGGGAAGAAAGGAGAGAAAGAGGAAAGGAAAAAAGCAAAGAAAGAAAGCTCCCCTAAATATTATATGGCCTCTCTAAAAATCTTTAAGTCTCTCCACAACTTCCCTGGGTTGGTTGGTTTGTCTGTTTTGGCAGCTGACAAAATCAGCCTCTCTCTCTCTCTCTCTCTCTCTCTCTCTCTCTCTCTCTCTCTCTCTCTCTCTCTCTCTCTCCCTCTTCCCGACATCTATTTAGCTATGAAAGTTTCTCTCTTCACTTCTTCCTGTGCTCTCTGGCCAGTCTGACAGCCACATCTCCACCACCCCCAGCTTTCCCAGGACGTTTCTTTCCAGGTAGTTCCATCTTTTCTCATAAACACTTGGCTTATCTCACTTTATAATATCCTTTACCTCCAACCATATTGCAACACACACACACACACACACACACACACACACACACACACACTCCAATTCTTAGATACAGGAGGCGAGAGTAATTTCAATAATTATAAATTAATGGTTAATAATTAATGTTTCTCTAACAAGAACTCTGAACTTGAAATATCTTGGAGATCCTTGTAGTAGCTTCGAAGGACACACAAAAAAATAAAAACATAAAAAGAAATATCTTGGAGATCCAACCCGAGCATTCCCAGGGCAGCAGCGTGGGGAGGGGGATGGCTCAGAACAGGGTCTGGATTTCAGCAGCTGGAGGGTGCCCGGGGCATCTGTAACAAGCATGGAGTGTCTGTTGCCCCACAAGGGAGGCCAGATGAACTTCCTTGAGAAACCTCAGCCTTTCAGAGTAGGCCAGGGCCAATGGAAAATAACAAATGACAAACCTAAAAGGAAGACAAGGAGCAGAGCTGAGAGACCACCTTAGCAATCCAGACAGAGAAAGCTTGGAGGAGATACTAGACACCAGTGGCAGAAGCTGCAGAGGAGTTGGACATGAGAAGGACTGAAAAGTGTCCACCAAAGTGTCTTGGTTTGGCTACCAAAAACTCAGCATGTGCAGCTGGGGTGAGATGAGGGAGTGCTTCAGGGTGGAGAGAGAGGAGTGGAGGGAATGTGTAGTAGAGGGAAAGAGGCTGCATGGTGCAGGGAAGACAGGAGGAAGTGTTCACTCATTTCTGAAGATGAGAGAGCTTGGGCAGGATTTCACTGTGAGGGGAATGCATCAGCAGGCCAGTGAGGTCAAACACAAATGAGGGTGAAGACAGGGTGCATGGACTCCTTTCCCCCAGGAAGCCAGAAGAGATGGGGTCCCTGATGCCATGGAGAGATTAATCTTAGATAGGAGGCAGGCAGAGCCACGCAGAGAGACAAGGAAGGTCTGCCCAGACCACTTTGTCCAGGTGGAGCCAGACAGTACAGGATGCTACCACCTGGCTGCTGATGCTGATCTGGCTGTCTGCTGAGGGTGAGGCGTGTTGATGGGAGAAAGAAAAGGGGCTCTGTGCAACTCACCTTGCAGAAAGCCAGTGATAGGGGTTAAGGTCACTGAGTTATCCCCACTGCTGATAACTAACAGCTCTTCTTACAAGGACTGCAGTCAAGGAACAAGGTGGATCAGCATCAGCCTTTGAAGATGTGGTCTCCCCACTTGCCTTTCCCTTGTCCACAAAGTCTCTGAAAGAACAGTCCTCCAGCTCCACCACCAGCCATATCTTCTTAAGAAGCAAGCCTCAGCATTTCATTTCCATGCCCAAACCGTCACTGGCTTCTGCCACCCATGTGATGAAGCACGGATTCTGGAGCACTATGGACAAACCCTGTAGCGTTTGGCTCTCTCGTGTCTTATCTCTGATTTCTTCCTCAGAGAGACGTTCCCTGACCACCTGGATAAAGAAGCCCCTTCCTCCCTCCTTGCCAGCAGCTATTTCTCTTCTTACTCATTTTAAATGACTTTTGTCTTAGCACACATTATTGTCTGAAACTCTCTTATTCCTAAAACTTCTCCCCAGCTAGAATGTAAGTTCCATGCCAGCAGGAACTGAGTTTGTCTTTCTGAGTCCCGCAGCGTCTCTCCAGGAATAGTGCCAGCTAATAACAGGAGTCCAGTATAACAACTTGCTCAGGATTTAGCTATGCTGCTGTAGGACAGCTGTTCCTTACACCTTGTCCTGTCCCTAGACTGGGAGCTCCTGAAGAGCAGAGACCCTGTTCCAGCAATAGTATCTCCTGACCCTAAGAGAGTGCCAAATGAATAATTAGTAATAAATTCTGTGTTCTAAAAAATGATAAACACTTCCAGAGCAGTCAGAACAAACACATAGAGCAATCTGTTATGGCAATTCACTTATTGTGTGACTCCAGTTAAGTCACTTAGGCTCTTTCTGAACTTCAGTATTCTTATCCGCAAAATAAAATGTCTGGGCTGTATCAGCAGTTACTCAACCTTAGAATGATGGAATCAGAATTTCTGGGGTTTAAGTGGTTGCAAATGGACAACCAAGACTCATATTTTTTAAAAAGCTCTCTGACTTCTAAATCATAACACTAGATGACTGCTAAGATCATCCCAGCTCTACAGTCCTGCAATTTATGTCTACATGTCCAAGCCCATAGCAAATTAGTTACCATGACACCCAGCAGTCTCCAGCCCTCAGAATTTCCACCAACCTTGAGATGACAGCTACTACCTACTGATGCACCCACCCACTGGCCTCAGACCTCTGGCTGCCTGAGGCTGATTTCAGGCTGCAGCTTTCACTCTGGGACAGTGTTTCTCAAATTATCTTGATTCTAAGAATCACCTGAAACACTTATTACAAATGTGGATTTTTGGTCTCCCCAAGGACTTATTAAATCAGATTCTCAAAGAGAAGAACAATGGAACCTACATTATAAACGTGTATCAGGGCCACCACTCTCAAGAGATACCGTTGGAAAGCGCTGCTCAAGGATAAGCATAGAGTTTGGGGAGGTGGGTCAGTGCTGAGTTACAGTAGCTGTTGCCAGCATTGTGGGCAACTGACTGACATGAGCCAAAGCCCATTCTGGAAGTCCCGTTTATGTGGGACAACACACCCACACTGTGTGGCTTGTTTGTTAATATCTACCTTTTAAAGGCCATCTAATGTTTAAGTGATGTTTTCCATGCTGCCATCGCTAAAATGCTTCTCTGGATCAGAAGAATCTATACAAATGCAGAGTACATCATTTATTGAGCACTGGGCAATTTAAGCCAAAGCAAGCTTCAGACTCAGCTCATGGGAATAAAATCATGTGGCTCTCATTTACTTTCTGTAAAGTGAAGAGGGGTGCTGTCCTTCTTGTATTGCAAATGGACAACCAAGACTCATATTGCTTGGAATAGCGGTGCCCATTCTCAATGATAATCACGTACCCGGTGAGTATTAGAAGGGGAATTCATATCCAGGTGTAGAGGGTCTCAAAGCTTCTGACTTTCTCATCACCATACACTGTCCTTCACAAAAGGAATTGAGAGCCCAGCAGCACTGAGAGAATCTACAGAATCTCTTCAATTATTTTCCAGATGTGAATCACATATCTTTCCTCAGAGGTGAAGATTTCTTTTTCAGGTGGTCAGGACTACACCTTCAACTGTCTCTGGGAGAAACAACGAACTAAACTTTTCACACAGAAGTCTGCGGTGGGAAACAATGATGAGAGAGGAAAGCGCTGGACAAAGCAGTGTCAACAGGGATACAGGGATCAGAGGCCCAGGGAGAGAAAGGTCACCATCAAAGGCAGATGTAATCCACTTTACACAGAGAACATCTGTAGACAGAGATT